CATTCTTTTTGGCTGCCTTAAAATGTGACTACAGAAAAGCATGCTATGTTTTGGCATGCTTCAATAAGCATAAAAACTTGCTGTGTTCCACCCCCATCCCTCAGGCCGAAGGCAGTCCAAGGACCTGAGATTTTTATGGAGCTTTACTTTTTGTAGTTTATAGGCAGTTTACGCAAGGCCTAAGAGCATGAACAGAGTCTGTAGGCCTGGATTCAAAGCCAGCTCCACCACCACTTACTGTGTGACTTTGAGAAGTCACTTCTTAAAGCTTTGTTTCCTCATCTGCAAAATGTGACTATATTACAGAACTAATCTCATAGAGTGGTTGTAAGAATTAAATGAAATAGTGCATGTAAAGATTTCACTTGGTATGTAAACATGTAACATATGCTCAATATCAGTTGTAATTATTGATTCAAAAACAGGTATTTCTTTCATTGTTCAAAAAAGATGAATCTATGATTTTTCAAACTACACATGCCCCCCACCTTAAGAATCACTGCTCCATACAGGTGCCCCTAACTGCTTTTTTAGTGCACATGAGCTTGGTTCCTCAGGCACCTATTTTACAATTTTCCTTGTTGGCCACAATGCAGTGCCACCCAAGTTATCAGTGCATCACAATTGGTATTGTGAACAACAGTCACCAATGTTTATGAATATTTATAAAAAATTAGATGTATTAAAAAATTAAGTTAGAAATAGAAAGGGTAGGTGTTTAGAATATATATAATCTGGCACTTGATTCATTTTACATTATAATTTTGTGCTTAAGAAAATGGTCAGTGTCTTCTGTCAATTTAAATACCTTGGAAAATATTAATGTTCAGGGACTGATAAAAATTTTTGGACCCATGGCCGGGCGCGGTGGCTCACGCCTGTAATCCTAGCTCTCTGGGAGGCCGAGGCGGGCGGATTGTTTGAGCTCAGGAGTTTGAAACCAGCCTGAGCAAGAGCGAGACTCCGTCTCTACTAAAAATTAGAAAGAAATTAATTGGACAACTAAAAATATATAGAAAAAATTAGCCGGGCATGGTAGTGCATGCCTGTAGTTCCAGCTACTTGGGAGGCTGAGGCAGGAAGGAGGATCGCTTGAGCCCAGGAGTGTGAGGTTGCTGTGAGTTAGGCTGACGCCACGGCACTCTAGCTGGGGCAACACAGTGAGACTCTGTCTCAAAAAAAAAAAAAAAAAAATTTTGGACCCACCTGGGGCTTGCAACAGCCACCCAGGGATCACAGCTGGGGCAGCTAAACTGCGATTAAAAAAAAAGGAAGTAAAAAGTAAAAAAAAAAAATTTTTTGAATGTCAGGCTGGCACATCTTGGCAATTTGAAATTAGCATAATAAAAAATATTCCATGTACCACACATTATTTTACTTGAGGGGGGTATAGAAACAAACCATGAATCTAGCTGTTCACATATACCTCATCAATGATTATGTATTTTGTGGGATCTTTCTGAAAAATACAAATATTCCTTACTTCCAGTGAGAAGAGCTTTTTGTCTATAGAAAATGTTAGCGCTAACGAATATCCCATGTTATTTTCTGTGGATATTGTCTGTAACAAAGTCAGTAAGTTGGTTTTTCTGCCTTAGTAGATAATGCAATCTTTTCCAAACCTGTCATGATTGTGCTGGTCAGAGGATAAGGTATCACCTAAAATTTGAAAGTAAGTTAACCTGTAATTCTGTCATGTATTTATACAGCACTTGAAACAAAATTTAAAAATTTAAAATATTATATAAAATTACCTTCTGGCTATAAGGTGTGTATGAAGCCAATGAATTTTGTATTTAGACTTTGGTCTCATCTCCAAGATATTTCATCATGTATATGCAAATATTCCCAAATCCAAAAAATTCTGAAACACTTCTAGTCCCAAACATTTCAGATAAAGGATAGCAACTGTAATAACTGTTACCCTGAGGGGAAATACAGGGCTGGGGTCCTGTGAGCCTGTCACATTTTCATCGATTGATCAATACATAACCTTGTTTTATGTTTCTGTTAAGATACCTTATTTAACATTTAATATTTGAATACACAGCCAACAGCACTATGACTCATCACTCATGCCTGAAAGTTTACCTAACACCCATATTTTCACCATAAGGCATATCACATCCTTCTTGTGCTCAGGAATAACAGCACTTCTGCACTACATTTGGGGGTCATTTTAAACAGCAAAATTGCCAAAAAAAAAATCCAAAAAATGTGAAGAACATAGCACTAAATAGACCATGAAAGGGACACGAAACATCATCAAGCTCATCTGGGTACATGTGCATGTCAGGTGACTCAAACATTTTGCTGCTTTGTATGTGTCCATGAATGCAGCATGGACACTGATTTAGAAATTACAAATAAACTTGAGTAGGCAAATCTGCAAATAAAGAATCCACAAATAATGAGGATCGATTATGTTAATTTTCCCTAAAACAATTCCTCCAAGATCACAAAGGTCTACTTTCCAGATTTGTAAGCTACTGCCCAAAAGTCATTTGTAACATAGCCTAAGAAAATGAAGACATTTCAAGAACAGATGAACATGATTTAACTTCATATCCCACTAGAAATACTTAATTCCAACAACCCAACATACAAAGAAAGCTAGTCTGTGCAAACCATTATCTGCAACACTTGATTCTGGAACTAGTACAAGAACTTACGGATTCGACTTCTAAAGTGCCTCAAACTGTTCTTTTAAAACCTCAGAATGTGAACCATTTTGTATTAAAACTTTGAAAAATATGCTATATACTTTTCTGCATTAAGTATTGAAGAAAATCTTTCACAGACCCAAAAGAAACTGTCTCAATTAACTGTCAGCCCCCCTGAAGGATGGGTCCATGGTCAGACAAAATGCAAAATGACCAGAATGCCCACTAGAAGCAGAATTTGGCCAGAGGGTAGGAGTGGGGTTTGTTATTATCTTAAATTTCAAGAGGAAGCCAAAGTGAAAAGCATTCTAGGTACAGAGGCTTCCTTCACAAGGCTTCATCAGCAAGGAGAGCTATCACTGTTACAAGCTAGGGTTTTATTTTTTGGATTTATTTAATCCCAAAGACAACAGAGCTGTTTCTAGCATAACACGAGATAACCGCATGTGCAATTTAGCTAACTCTGGCAGTAGTATGTACAGAATGTGACAGAGATTAAAACCAGACCATTTTCTCAAAAGTGCAAATTGCCTGTAATTAGTTTTATGCAGATATCCTGGGCCCCAGGCCAGATCTAAATCCATCTTCTGGAAAATAGAACCCCTACATCTTCAAGTACTTTGGATAATATGGTATACTGAAATTAAGCCACAATCATGAACTACCAAATTAAAGATCTTTCAAGAATAAGGTTTAAAACTAATCATAACTTGTGAACATTTAATCAATATAAAAATTCTATCAAAGCCTATAAATACTATCTATATCCTTTTCTCCAAAGATAGATTAGCGGTTATTACTGTTTTATACCATATAAATAAGGGTTTAAGCCAATGATCAAGGCTAGAACCCTCAATATAGTGATAAACTGGGGTAATTTCAATAGTTGATGAAGATCGGGTTGGGCACTGTGGCTCAACAGTTTGAGATGAGCCTGGGCAACATAACAAGACCCCACAAAAAAATAAGAAAAAGTGGCTGGGTGTGGTGGCCTCTACATTTTGCCCCAGCTACTTGGGAAGCTGAGACAGGAGGATCTCTTGAGCCCAGGAGTTCAGAGGCTGCAGTGAGCTATGACTGTGCCACCACACTCCAAGCCTGAACAAAACAAGACTGTCTCCAAAAAAAATTGATGGCTATCAGTTTTGTACATAAAATATTATGATCATTTAACAAATACAGATTGGTTCAAGAATTACTACGGTTATCTAAATTCACAAAATGCAACAGAGGACGACTGTGCCCTTTTCACATAAAACCAAGACACCCTTGACTTCTAACAGTATATTTTTCATGAAAGAAGATTCTTCTGTCAGCTATGTCCACCTCAGCACCATTAAGATATTATCTATTTATGCATGTCAATTACAAAGAGAATTAAAATTTAAAAAAAAAGCAAAACCATGCACTGTTTAAGGAATTTTTATTAAAGCAAGAATTTTATAATCCAAATTATGTTTCCTTGCTCAGTTATCAATTCTGTTACTTAAAACAGAACTGACATTCTGAGCTATTCCACAGTAAAGAATTACAAAATTAAAGAAAGGAATGCTTTAAATTTTTGTACTTTGCTGAAAATTCTTTTTCCCAGGGTCTATAAAACATTAATT